AAATAATAAAAAAATAACCCCAAACTTTTTAACCGATAACCCGGTTATCACAGTTCAGGCCACCATAAACATCTTTCTTAGTCTTGTACTTTTAACAAATACATATTACAACATTTAAAAAACATTTATTTGACTGAGTAAACCTGCAAAAACAGAAAAAAATAGCAATAAAAATAGTTTGTCATGGTCCACACTGAAATCACAATGAAACGCACATACTTGTCCATCCCATAAAACATCCATTTTTTTGGTTAAACGTCAAGTGCAAGTGGAAATACTTGTGTCAAGTCAGCATGCTCCATAAACCTCATGTCACTATGTAGTACCACATTAACTGGTCTAATATTGTCTGTAACTGGAGGTCTTGCCAAATACTGAAATTATTGAAACCCATAATCATAAACCTTGTGAGATAACTACAACTCTTAACAATCATGCAATTTTGACTAATTTACTTCTAAAACTATAATTACAAGTTTACATATATTTTGATACATATCAAACTGAGAAAATGATATTAGAAACCTAGCTTAACTGCGGTTAGAACCAACCCAAAGCGAAGTTCGATGTGATCGTTATCCAATCCAAAAAGCATTTGATAAATTGACCAACATAATCAATTCGTCAACCTCAGTTCACTTCAGTTATTTTATTTACTCTATGTCCCTTATTTTTTATTTTACAGTTTTATTATATTAACATAATAATCATATATTAAATAAAATACATCGAAAAAAAAGTTTCTTTTTTACAAATTACATTATTATAATCGTTTCGTTAATACGTCCAAAATAGGTCAAATATTGAGTATTTTGTGGTTTTAATTATTTTATTAAATATCATAAATGCATATGAATTGTTTTTAATACTTGCAATTTCTACTCTTATGATGCATTTAGTTCGCAGGATTCCGACGAAATCTGAAGAAATTGAAATGATTAATTTTATTGATCAAATTCCACTCAGGCATTTGGTTTACCTGTAGAGTGGAATTAAATTCCACACATTCGACCATTCATGGATTTGGTCATTTCATCACAATTGAGAAGAAATTCAACTCAAACGCCATCAAAATTTTTCAAAAAGAAAAAATTATCCACGTCTTATCTACTTGATTCACCCAGATCCATATGATCTCCATCTGAACCACCGCCGACCACTACCATTCTGAACCACTATCAACCACCACCTATCTGAACCTCTGTCGACCACCACCGACCACCACTGTTCTGAACCACTGCTAATCATACCGATCTAAACCATTGTCGGCCACCATCAATCTGAATCATCACCGACCACCACTGATTTGAACCACCGTCGACCACCACTGATCTAAACTACCTCCGACCACCACCGACCTTAACCATTGTCGACCACCACCGATCTAAACTACCGCCGACCACCACCAACCTGAACCACCGTCGATCACCACCTATCTAATCCACTGTTTTGAACCACGGTCGACCACCACTGTTCTGAACCGCCAACCACCACTATTGATCTGAACCACCATTTTGGACCAAAGCTGATCACCGCCGTTATAAAGGGGTATTTTGGTCATCCAACCAAACGTGCGGTCAAATTCCATTTCAATTTCTTCGAAGTCAAATTCCATTGAAATTTCTTCAAAGTCAAATTCTTTTGATAAATTTCATTACTTTAGAAAATATTATGCGAACCAAACGCCCCCTTATGATTATTGATTTGATTTGTAACTGTAAGGTAAAGTGTAAGTATTAAAAGTAATATGTAAATATTTATAAAATTTAAACAAATATAAGATTAAATCCAAAAATATTCAATCTTTGGCTCATTTTGAACATATTAACGTGACAATTATAATGGTGTAATTTGTATAAAAAAACATATTTAATTGATGTATTTTATTTAAAATGTTAAAAAACTAATTATAAATATATAAAATGTACTTAAAAAATAAAAATGATTTGATTTATATCTTTAATTTGTATATTAAGGTTATAAACTTTTACCTCTTAAAAACCAAAAACTGTAACTCTTTTCTTTATAATAGATTATAAATTTGGAATTACAAAACATGGATGGTTCAAATTAGTTTTTGGTTCTCAAAATATTTTTTATTCTTGTTGAATAAAAAATTTGTGCAACGAATGATTCTACAAGTTCGACAAGATAATCGCTAGCGGCACCTTCAACATTAACTTCACAAATGGTATCAAAGTGCATGATGACGTGGCGGTTGATATCGAGTTTGCTTTCTGTACAATGATGGCAATCGTGATCGCCCATAACTTAGATGCTACATATCTTTGGTACTTCATCATGAAAGAATCACAGGAAACGGCTCAAAACTGCATATTCTATTCATTCGTTCAAGAGTGAGAATGTATTTGATGACCGATGAATCATGGATTACATGATCAACCAGTGGACCGACGTCAAAGGTTCATCATGCCCCATGCCCATTTTCTGTAAAGCGAGTGTCGTGATATACATGTCAAATTCAACCCATCGCTGTCAATTTTAATTTGTATGTTATCACTTTTTCTTTCTAAATTAAAATTATAATTTATTAATTCAAAATATCATCAATAAAATAGATTACTTTTAACCATTTTCTTAAATACTTTATATTCGCTATTTTTCTACCAATTTTATTTTTATTTTCAAATTGTGACCACCTAATCTTGAAACTTTCTAGAAAAAATATTAACATGTGGTTTATATTTTATCACGTCTTTCGTCTTTTGTCCTAACTTTGTTAAGATTTTCTCGTAATTTCCTTAAGTAGAGGGGTATTTGAGTCATTCACTTGTTTTCTCAATTTCTACTTAACGATTTAAATAATATATGTAACATTATATTATATTATATTATTATAAAAAAGTATATTATACGTATACACACACGTCACATCTTCGAGAAACCCATCTCTTCCTCGCCCTTATGGAAAACCCATCACGCCATTTTTGGCTACCATTTCCTTCCTCACATGATAAACACTCAAATATCACACACATTCGAGTGGATTCATGTGGGTTTAAAAAAGGAAATGCGCCCTGAAGGCTTGTTGTGACAATTTTTTTATAGGCTTTGGATGAGATGTAAAAATGGGTTATTATAAGTACGATATTTTTTTAATACATTGTTTTTATCATCAAAAATAATATTGAATTTATATAAAACTGTTTTTCTAAGTATTCTTAAATGCAAAATCAATCAATAATCCTTTCTAAATTAATATTATTTACTAGAACATATTTATGTAGCATCATCAATTTGTTTCATCATTAAAAACATTTTATGATATATTTTTGGTAAATAGAATAACATCATTTGGGGTCATAATGTTAATTTTTCTGATTTCCAAGTAACTGTGTAAATCAATGTAAATAAGTTGGTTTTCCATGTCACCTCATATTAATGTTTTTTAATACTATTTTAAACTTTTGTATTATGTTTTCGAATTTGAGAAAGAAAGAAAAGAATGAGAAATGAGTAAAAGAAGAATAAAAGAAAGGAATGAAAAAATAAAGTTTTTATTTGTGTTTTTGATAAAAAAAGAGAGGAAAGAAAAATAATGAAATGAAAATAAATTTTGATATAATTTCTTTTTTTTTTTTTCTTTTCCCTAAAAAAATCTCGAGAACCCCATTATTTTTCTTTCTTTCCTTCGTAAAAGTAAACTCAAAAGCATATCGTTAGGATTAAAACAAACATTTCTGGAATTATCTATCTTATAAATAAAAAACTCATTTTAGTTATAGTTTGAGATCTTATTCTTCATTTAGAGATAGAAGAGCACATAAGATTTATGCACTCAATATTTAATAATACAGAACAAGTATGAAAAAAAAAAACAATTATAGTTTTATTATTCTAAATATAAATATAAGTTGTATCGTCTCATATGGTTGATAATTTTTTCAAAAGACGAATATTTTGTTAGATAATAACAAGAAAATCTATTATATTTCAATACAAAAATAGAATTCATGCGAGGATGAAATAATTAAAAGAATCGATAGAAGATAAATTATGGAGACATATGAAAGCTTTCGAGGCCAGTGGTTTTAGACGTCGGTATTAGATAAAAAAACTTATAGAATTAAACAATATTATATAATCAACGACAAATTAACTATTTCATGTATTTTCTTCCACAATATATTTAATTAATACATGTTTTGGCCTTTAATAGTTAATGTACTACCAAAATCTTTTCCGGTACCATTAGATACTAATTTTTTGAACTATTATTATATATACTAAAAAAGTTAGGGCTCCAAATTTTATGGGCCCTGGGCGTATATCCAGCTCACCCTCCCCCATGATCGACCTTGCATGTGGGTGGATCAATTGATGCTTTACGAGGATGGTCGGTGCCAGAGAAGAAGTGGAGGGATGAAGGGGTGCGTCGATGGCGATGGGGAGCGGGAGGGGGATAACACTGTCCCGCTAAAACATTATGTTAGGTAAATCAAATACATAGCCTTGAGGGTTAGCTCAACAAATAAATAAATATTTGGGTGTTAGGCATCAGGGTTCCTTCCTATAGGTCGTAATTTCGAATCTCCTTAAGGCCGTTGAGGATTTTCGTGGCTATTATCTTTAAGGTTCCATCATATTAGTCGAGGCACATACAACCACACAACCCAGTCGGAAACCCATGGTTAATTACAAAAGAAGAAGAGTATAAAGCCTGCTAAGTGTCACTGTCAGGCATAAAAGTGTGTTTGCGGTGTGATTTAGTACGGTTTTGGGCCGAACTGCAAACCGCACCGCACCGCATATACCTCAAACTACACCGTAAAATGAGGTGCGGTTTTATCCCGCAAGCGTTTACATATTGTTGTGATAACTTATGGGGTTGTAATTAAAAAAATTTAGAACTTGAGGGGTGAAACTTGATTTAGTCGGATAATTGAAGATGGAATCTCTTTTCCCAGGAGGAAAGAAGGAATCCATTTCCATTTACTCATTCCATCCCCCCTGCCAAATATAATGAAAAATGTCGGACCTCATGATCCAAACAGAAGGAGAAGAGACTCGATTTGATTCGCATCCCGCGTTGGGCGCCGATTTTTGACGCGCCACCACACGCGCCACCGGATTCCCCCAAAATTTAGAACCAAAATACTACTACACCAATTGAAAAGGCTGTCGAGATGATGGAATCGCCCAACGGTTCTACAGCAGAGAGCTTGACCAAGAAATCGGATGTGTCGGATCGCGATCACTTACAGATTTCTGTGAAGCTGGGTCAAGATCCGGAACTGAACCCGAAAGAGGATCCCGCTTCTCGTCAAAGGGACAATGCTGAGATAACTGATGAATATTCTTCGTCAACAACAATACCGGTAGCTTCATCGCCCTCGACGACGGCCAACCGATCGAAGAAGTCAGTTCGGTGGAGTCAGGATTTGGTGGAAGAGCGAACTTTGCCACCGTTAGAGAACGGTGATGATGATTACGAATCATCGAATCCGTATGTGAATCGTACTCGGGAATCGTCGAATTCTCCCGCATTCAACATCAACAGTTAGGCCTTTTACTGCCTTACGTTTCACACACGCAAACACTTGTTCTTTATAGGGGGAGGGGACTATAGAAGGGAAGGGGATTACTAAAAAACGTCTCTGGGAATGTACTCAATTTCAACTCGCATTTGGATATATTACTATTGCCTTAATCCGTTGGCCAATCGTAATCCCAGTTTCAGATTATTCTTTGTATACACAACTTGATATTCTTAACTTGAGTGTTACGCTTTTCTGCAAGTTTATATATTCGTGTGCATGGATAGAGCTGTTATTTGGTATTAAGAACACACGATATGTTAAGAGATTCTCAGTTTGGATTGCGTTTTGCAGATTCCATGGTTAATATTAAAGATGCATTTGGTAGATGGAGAAAGAAGGTTGGAGAAGCTACAAAAAAAGCAGAAGACCTTGCCGGAAACACTTGGCAACATTGTAAGTTTTTAATCTGTTCTTTTTGTGGGTGTGCTGCATTTTATATCTTCTGCAAATTATGTGCATAGATCTATTTTTCATTGTGGGTAAATGGATCAAGATACATCTCAACGAGGTCTAGGTGACGTTCACTTTTTTTCTTTCTTTCTTTCTTGAAACTGATTTCTACTGTTGGCTAATTACGAAATCCACCCCTATTAATTCTTTTCTGATTGCATTTAGGTATATGTATGTAATTTGATTAGAGAAAGTTAACAGTCTTATACCAGATTATCGGTGATGGTAGTTAAAATTTAGGTATCTAGTTGTTTACCTTAGCACTCAGAGCTCAGAGTTTAGTGGGTCCTCAGTGATCATGCCAACTACAACTTGTATCGTGATTGAGACTTGTCTGGTATGGCTATTTTCCATATAACAACGTACTTAAGCTTTGACAATTACCCTGAGTGGTAAGTTTGTATTGTTGCACTTGTATCCTAGCTTCTTAGTGAATCATATATGATCAGTATGCTTCCCAAAGAGCATAAAGCCTTACCAAAAAGCACTTGGCGCAGTGACTTTGGCATGCATCAGGTCTATCAAAATCTCTGTTTTTGTCTGTCTCTCTTTCAAAGTTTCTCATGCACATGGGAAAATTTTTGTTTTAAAGAAATAGCTAGAAACCACATCCGAGCGGGTGAAACTTTTGCCTCCCACCCATTAGCATACTACTGGACCCTGGCAATCACCTGGCATATCCAAGGGTGGTGAACTCATGACATTTGAGTTAACATGATTGATGAGGAAGTCCATAATGCTTGGATAAAGCCTACCTGGGCAATCTTTCGTTCTTTTCTTAATTATGATTTAGAGTATGTACCTGAAATTGGACCAACATCACTTTTATCTCAGATCAATTAATCAAGCAGGTTTTACTGAAATGGTTCTTTTCTTACCTTGTTGGTTGCACTGCACACTGTGGTTATAATTTATGAGAGAATCATTCTCATTGGGTCCATAACAATCATCACAGATCACAAGACATCTTGTGGTAAACATGCTGTCACATACTGGGTGATGAACTTTCTTATGGTTTTCACATAGTTTTTTTGTATTATTAAGATGTAAATGTGATTTATATACTTGTTCTCATTGAACATATAGGCTTAATCTCAAATTCCCAAGCGGTGACCTACTACTACATATATTTGGTGTTCGATTTATGCAAGTGATGGTCATGCTGACTTCAGATGCAATCCGAACCTTCATTAACAGAATTAATTAATAAACCTGCAAGTTTAATCATACTCATACAATCATACTTTAACCATTAATGATCTTGATATGCAAATATTTTTAGACTAGTATTATGTGTATTTTTTTTGCTTTCATGGCTCATTTTGTATAGAGAAAACAGTTGTTACCAAAAGAAGTTTCTTGGATGTTTTATCTTATATAGTGGAAGGGAAGGTTGCTCTCTTGATTCATTTGCCTATTAATTTTCTCGTTATTTCTCTGCGGCTTGTGTTTCTTATATTTATATCATTCAGTTATTCTTATTTGATGGCTCTTCTTTAACACGATATATATGTTTATTATCTGTGAAAAAAACTATTTAAGACAGTTCTTCATTCACATATTCATTGAAGTCTTCTTTTTATATGTTCAAACTAGTGAAAACGGCTCCTAGTCTCACAGATGCTGCCTTGGGAAGAATTGCCCAGGGAACTAAAGTTCTAGCAGAAGGAGGTTATGAGAAGATTTTCCGACAGACATTTGATACAGTCCCTGAAGAGCTACTTCAAAATTCATATGCCTGTTACTTGTCAACTTCAGCTGGCCCTGTGATGGGGGTTTTATACGTTTCTACGGCCAAGCTTGCATTCTGTAGTGACAATCCACTGTCATATAAAGCTAATGACAAGACCGAGTGGAGCTATTATAAGGTACACCTTTATGATCTTGTCATCTTGAATATATCTTAATTTGGTCTATGATTAATTGTAGTGCATATAGCAACTGCCGATAGGTACTCTGTGGAGATAACTTTTCTTACAACCTAAAGTATTAGACTATTAGAGATGCATGACTGGTGATATACTGATTTCCAAAGTACATTTACAAGAAGAGTAGGGAGTAAACCATACATGATGAAGCAATAGTGCCATGGTGTAGACTATCATAAATTTATGCCATCTGATATTATCAGAATTTCTTAGTGCTGACTGCTCTGCTGGACTTTTTTATAGGAATCTGTAAATTATAAGGATGACTTGGACTAAGTAGATCTACAAACGGCATAGGGTTTGAGTTAGCAATGCGAGTTTGGGGTTGGGAGGGTGAAGGTAATATCAGAAGATAAACACATAAAAGTGTTCTTTGATACTTGGGTTGTTTTGGAACATGGAGAAAATTTTATGGGATGTGGCAAAGTCCTAGAAAACTCCACCTTGGTTCCCTATCAATGTCCTACTTTGACTATAAACGTCAAAAAATTGTTGGCTAAATTCATACTCATTATTTATTATTTTACAGTTTCAACAACGATTCCTTAGTATATCCTTTCACATGGTTATTGATTTTGCCTCAAAAACTAAATCTATTCATATCAATTTAAAATTTGAAAGTAGCTTGTTTGGCAAGTCTAAGTGGACCATTAATAGAAAATGTGGGAGCACATGATATGCTGTGATGCCAAAGTCATGTTTACTTCAAGCCTTTGCAATGCTTTTCTGTGAAATTAGGGTTTACCAGATGTGTGCTATATTGTTCCTAAGAATGATATGTATTCGTAGTACAATGGTTGGTATGATGGGTCAAGTCTAGACATTGAACTAATCTGTACTAAGACATCTAGTGTAGATTATGTTTAACTTCTCGTCATCAAAATTGGAAAATAGACATCAATCTGCCCTAACTTGACCAAAAATCAAGTTGGGGGTAAATTGAAGTAACTTAGTGCACCAAATCTGTATGGCTTTAATAGGAGACTTCTCGAATGAACTAAATCTACTGACATCCTAATGGGCATCACGAGGAGTCCTCAAAGCCAAAAACCTAGCAAATGGAGGGAGTCCATCCAGTAGGTCCGAATCCTGATGAGCATTAAAAGTAGACTCCTCAACATGAGGCTAGGTTACTTCTCCTGAATTTCCTATGCTCAGTAACATGTTTCCCACACCCAACAAGATTATTCTTCGAGAACAAACAAGCAATAGAAGGTAGCTCCTCCTCTTGAGCAAGCAAAGTCTGTTTCTCAACAAGTCAAAATGGTTGCTCCATTTAAACCGTCAATGATGTAAATTAATGCCACTCCTGGTATCCAAGGGGTGCAGCAGCTGAAGAATCCCTAAACTTTAGGAAATGACAAACTGTCTCTGAACTTTGATTGTGCTATGGAATATCTCAAAATCTTTCCAGAAACAGAAAACCGCCTGGACGACGTTGGACTTTATCATGATAACTGGAGACGCTCTCAACATCCTACTCTGTAAAGTGACATTTCTTGGGCCACAAATGATAGCTGACACTAGTTAGTCAGGGTTGCAGTGAGGCTTCCTCTGGTTGGAATCGAGGTCGTGAGGTGCTCAACCAGGTACAATCATGGTCAAATACTTGTAGGTTCGGATGGTTTTAGGGTTTGTAAAACAAGGTCAAGTGGTTGTGACCATCAAGATCTAGGAGTAGCAGAGACAATTAGTTTGTGAAGTTCAGACTAGAGACCAAAGTGCACCTATAAATTCAAAAGTGGATCTGAATAGATTGCTGATGGAAGACAAGGGTTTCCTCTTTCTCAGCTCAGAACGACTGAACGGGGGCAGATCCATGCCACATGAAATTTCAGCAGCAAGAGAAACACAACTCTTAACATAAACCGAGAACCAACAAACAGCAAGAATACAGAAGCTCTGGTGCCAGCAGCACAGATATCTAGCAACAAAATGGTGTAAGATTATAGGAGTTAGAACAAGATAAAAAAGAAGACTTCATCATAGCTCTAATGTCAACCTCTGATACCATAAAACAAATTAGGGTTCCTCAAAGGTATGTCATATCATTCATTACTTAGGATGATATTAGTATATAGTACAATAATGGCTGTCATGGGCCGCGACCAAAAGATTTACATAACCTAAAAGCCTATGCTAATAAACGCAGTACATGATACATCTTTTAGACTATAACACACTTGTGTTAGGATAGTGCAGGCAAAGCATGAAGCCATTAAGATTTCCTCGATTTCAAGAACTTGTTTGGAAATTTGAGGGACCCATATTGATGCCTTGAATTATTTTGGCTCTAGTTTGGATCAGCTTATCATTTATCATAGGGCTATAATTGAACCTGAAAGTTTTCCTCTATGATGGCATTTGTGACCACATTGTGCAGGATTTGGTATTAGTTAGGCTAAATTTGATGGGTAGATATACTTTTATTTTATCTTTGCAGTTGTATCTGTTCTAGTTTACTGATTGTTATTGGCAAGATAAGTTATATGTGTTGTGTAGGTGATCATCCCATTACAGCAGCTGAAAGCAGTTAACCCTTCTTGTAGCAGAGGCAATTCTGGTGAGAAATATATTCAAGTGATATCCATCGACAGCCATGAGTTTTGGTACATGGGTTTTCTCAACTACGATGGTGCCGTCAGATGTCTACAAGATGCCCTACAAGCGCGCATTTCACGTTCGGTGTGATCACAAATGCTTCTTTTTTTCTTTCTTTCTGGGAAAGAGTACTGAGGATGGGATGGCAATTGTTGTAAAAGAAGACTCATTTATGAAGGTGTAGAAATGGTGGTGGACTTGATTGCTTTTCTATACATACACATTTGAGTCCAATGGCTTTGTAATTTATTTTCATTTCCTTGGCTGAGTTAATAATTTCTAGTATAATTTGACATCCAAGTTTTGGCTTTTTTTGACTTTAGGTTTCGGGTTTTTATTTGTGTTTGACAAGTGTTTACTTTTCTAATAGTGAAGTGCATTAAAATACAATGTATTTTGTTCCTATTTCTATTTTGTATAACGTATTATAACCGTTATTTTTTATATATCACATGTGGTGTCAAACATAGGATAATGTAGGTCGATCATATTACAGTATGTAATATAAAAGAGGAATTACAATAAAGTATGCTGTATCTTCATGTATCATTGCAAAATACACGTGAAACTCGTATATATTGTTAGCCTTGCTTGGTGACATTTATTTTCGTTAAAACTTGCTTCTAGACTTGTTAAAAAAAATCATTATGTAATATAAAATAAAAAATAATTTTTTTAATATCCCGACAAGCCAAATCGATAGTGGCACGGACCACCACTCATCCCATAGTAGATTCACCCCTTCTTCCTTTGCTAGAATCCATTACGTTATAACTTCGGATGCCATGTGTTATGCGTTTATTTGTCTCTTAGAGACTCTTGGCATGCAACATTATGCTCACAAAAATAATATCAACTTACGGTTCAATAATTCTTTTGAACGTAGGATCATGCCTTCACAAAACTCGCATAATTAGCTACGATCTTATGACATATGTACAAGTCAGACATAAGTTTTCAACTTTTTATGTCTTGCAAATTATACAACAGGTGGTTGTTATACACACCATTTTTAGGTCAAATCATGCATTAAAGATGTAGAAACTGGGGTTTGACGTTCATGGATGTAAGGAAAACATCGTTAGAGTGCACTTAACAATAAGACTCTCGATTCTTGCGATATTTATATAGTAAGGTAATATAACTTGATAAATACTTATCCGAGTAAGTGTTTGGAAAACATACTCTAAAAGATTGCTGCGACCACACCAAATTGTTATATTTTTCTTTTTCCAATTTTTTTAAATAATTTTTCATGACAACTTTGTAATTTATACACTTATTTAATCTCGAAGTTATAATTTTATTATATATTTTTAGTGATGAATTTAATTACCAATTTATCAAATATAGGTATGAACGAGGTTGATGTGCACCTGTTTCGCTTTGACCCAAGATAAAAAGGTCATACGAAATATATTTTTGTTCTCATTTTATGTTGCGAGTCGTTTCCTAAGAAATTTTTTTTTTTTTTTTGCAGTCAAATTTACGGATTGAACGATCTCTTGAAACGGTGGAACTAAAAACACATCGGACGACTTTACAAACCTTTGATCCACCTTAAATAGGCATCTGCTCGGCAAAAGTCTTGAGTCCAGATTACTCTTCAAAAGAGCTCTTAAGGATAAACAGAAGGTTCCAAATATATATACAAAAAACACGATCTAAATCTAATTGACATAGAACTCTAACAAGACTTTGATTTTTATTTTATTTTATTTTATAATTAATGGACGAAAAATATTTAAAAAAAAGGGTGTCCCCCCTGGGTATGTATTAAAAGGACAAGAAAACCAGCACAAATCTTGGGTTGCAAGACCACCTTCACATGCAAATGACAACACCCTCCCCCTTTTTTTTCTTTTTCTTTTTCTTTTTTAATTATTAATATCAACCACAGTATTTTCAAATTTTTTAAATTTACAATTCCTACCTTCTTCAATTTATCATTTTATCAATATATTTTAAGAAACAAAATCTATATTATATTATAAAGCATTTGATAAAAATTCTTAAAACTCATTTTTTATGCATAAAGTATTGTATATTGATGCATATTACTTAAAATTCAAGATTACAAGTAAATTATGCATAAATATAACTTATTGAAGTTTCATGCTTGAATTCGTGTAACTAACTGCAGATAAACATGATCAAATAGATGATAAACATCTCATTTTAAAATAAAAAAAAATAAAAAATATAATTATAATTATAATAATTATCAAGTTCTAACAAAATAATTAATTATTATCTTTATAAGAAAATTATATTATTAAAGCAAATATAAATTACTTCATTATTGAACCTAAATAAATTATAATAAAAAAATTGAATAAAAAAATTACATAAAATTTGAGAAAATTTTAAATAGTTAATTTGATACCAATATCGATATATTTTTGTCAAATTTTTATGATATATTCAAATTTATATTTTGTTCAAAAATTAAAATATCATTGTTTTTTCAAAATCACATAAGACCATATTATAACACCAACTGAGATAAAGAATAAAATGAAATATTAAAATTAAGATGTATTTTGCTGTATTTCGCTAGTACCTTCTAGTATATGTAAAATAATAATAATTACAAATTATATATATAAAATAAAATTTT